TGATGGTCAAAGTGCAATGGACGGGAACAACTCCTGAAGAGTGTACCTGGGAGCGAGAGGACGAGCTTTTCCGGCAGTATCCCGACTTTAGAGACATGTATCTTGTGATTTTGAGGACAAAATCCTTAAAAATGTGGGGTGAATGTAAGAACCCGCACCGTTAATTAAGGAAGTTAATTAATTAATTATGAGAAATTAGGAAATGATCCCATAATTGACCCTAATAATTATTATGAGGCTTAAATAATTATAGTAAGTGGGTAATAATGCTGAAAGTCGCTTTTCTGACGAAAAGTGCAGATACCGGTTCTGCTACTCGGTATAAATGCGTACCGAAAAAGTATCCCGAAAAATTATAATAAGTGCATGATAATTCCTAGAATAATATATAGGGCTTGTAAAACAAATTTCAAGTTAAAATAATGAGAAATGGTGCCAGAACTGATACTGGCTATGGAAAAGCGCGTACCGAAAAGGTATTGCGAAAAATAAAATAAAAATATGATAAATCTTAGAAAAATGAGTAGGTTCAGATTCCAAATTTTGGGATTAAAATTCTAAGCGTAGCTATTAGCGCTAATATTGTGTGTTTAATTCCTAAGTGACTATAAATGCAACTTTTGCACACAACCCTAGGCCATACTATTAACTCTACGTGAGGCATTGTGGCTGATGATCAGCCTGTCCTTCTTGTCACCTTCAACTTCTCTTAGAAACCTCCAAAGTAACCACCTTTCTTTACCCTTTCTTCATCAAAACACTATAGTTGGGTGTGGTTGAGACTTGTGTGGGAGAAAAGCCTTGTGTTCTGAGTTTAGATACTACTAGTGAGGTGTTGAGGGGATGAGTTGGTGTGAGCCTTTGTTCATGCCATTGGAGGCTTCAAGAAGCCATTTTTGGTGAGAAAGAACCTTGGAGGTGTGCCATTTTTGTCTCCTTGTGTGTGCTGGACTTTGGGAGATGATGAATCTCACCTCACGTTTGGGGCACACATTTCAGGTTCAGGTAATGCGGGGGTTGATTCCTCTAGCGGCAGGAGGCCGGAGCTGAGTTAGATTATGTTGTTATCATGTTATTATGCTGTATTCTGACATGATGGACTTTGATGCTGTTTATGTTTTCTGTCATTATGATTATTGAGTTGAGACTGTTGTTGGGGCTTGTTGCCTTATTTGGCGAGCATAGGGTTTGTCCATGCCGCTTTGATGTTAGTACCTTTACCTGTGTTGTATAAACTACTAGGTTGTCCGGTCTACGTGTTGTAGTTCTGTGACTAGAGACATACTTATGATATTTAATTAATGAGGTATTTCACTTAGATGTCTTTGCAATATATATATACAGGCGATGTTTTTATGAAAATGATTAAGTAACCAAGTTGGTAATGATAATGACGCCATAGTTGAAAAGAAAAAGATATTTCGTATTCATTTAATTAAGTGTGGCTTAATACGATGACATGTTAACAAACCGGGTTAAGACGGGGTGTTACATACTCTATGTGATCATGGTGGTTGGTAACTCGGGCTCAGTGATGGCACCATACCCTTGCTCAGAATTTGTCCTGCCATGGTTATACTCATATGCATGTGGATAAGGAGGAGGGCTTTCAGGAATTTTAAACTTAGTTTTCACATGCTTTTTCTAGCTTTTGGGCTTTTCCATCTTAACATTTGGCTTGTGTTCTGCATGCCGCTGATGGACTTCCTTCTTGTTCCCTTCCTCAGCCTTTTTCTCTGCAATGTAGTTGACTTGATTCTTAGGTTGAGAAGTAGGCAATTAAGGAGCTTCATTTATAAGTACCTTGAATATTGCTTGCTCTCTATCCACGCGCATTATCAACTCACCCTTAGGTACATCGATTAATGCTCCTGAGGTTGCTAAGAATGGCCTCCCGAAGATCATAGGCACACTGGCATCTTCATCAATGTCAAGAATAACAAAATCGACAGGAATTAGAAATTTGTCTACCTTGACTAGCACATCTTCCACAATATCATATGCTTGCTTTGTTGAGCGGTCGGCCAGTTGAACATTCATCCTAGTTGGCTTCACTTCATTAATTCCCAGCTTCTTCATCAGGGTTAATGGCATCACATTAATGCTAGCACCAAGATCGCATAAGACTCTCTCTATAGTCGTCTTGCCAATGGTGCATATATGGAATACTGAAGCTTCCTGGATCCTTCAACTTTGGAGGCATGTTTTTCTGTAAGATTGCACTGCACTCCTCTGTTAGTGTAATCAGTTCATCCACTATGAGCTTCCTCTTCTTAGATAATGTTTCCTTCAGGAATTTGGCATATGAAGGCATTTGCTCCAGAGTTTCTGCAAAAGGCATATTAATCTGCAATTTCTTAAAAATATCTAAAAGTTTTGACAATTGCTTCCTTTGCTCATTTTGCTTGGGCCTCATTGGATATGGAGGTTTCTCAAAACGTGAGAAATCCCATTGCTTCTTTTGAAATGCAGGAGGTTGTTCCTTTGCTTCTTCTTTATCCTTTTGAGCTTGTTCATCCTTTCTTGTAGAAACTTCAACTTCCTCTTTTTCTAGCTCCTCATTCCTTGTAGTGATGACATTGCATTGCTCCTTTGACACTGCATTTCTCCTTTCTTGACTCCTCTCAGCTAGTTGTCTTGAAAGTTGGCCAATTTGAGTCTCCAAGTTTCTGATGGATGCATCTTGATTCTTGAAGGACGTTTTTGCTTCATGAATAAATTCACTTGTATGACTCCTAAAGGCATCACTTCTTTCCCGATTGTTAAGTGAAGTTGGTAATTTCATTTACCAACTTGTTGTACTTTTCCATAGAAAAATGCTCAACAAAGAATTTAGCTGCCAACTCATCCCACGTTCTGATGTTGTTGGGAGCTTGTCGATCCAACCATCTGAGAGTTTTCCCGGTCACAGAAAACGGAAACAACCGAAGTTTGATTGTGTCATCTGATACTCCGTGGAGCTTGGTTGTATCACAGATTCTTAAAAATCTGTCCATGAAGTCATGAGGATCTTCATAGTCTTCCCCACTAAACTGAGTTTATACACCAATGTGATCAGTGATGGATGGATGTCATAGTTGTTGGCATCAATCGGTGGCCTGACAATGCTGGAGTTTGGCCTTGTAAACAATGGAGCCAAGATTGACTCCATCAACTCTTCTTCCGGTGGTGGATTGGCTTCTGCCATCTCTGATTCTACCTCAAAAGATGAAGTAGAAATTTCTGCTTGGTAATTTGTCTTATCCTTCTTGCAGTTCATTCTATCTCTGGATCGTAGATCAAAGTTTCAGGATCAACTCTACCACGCATAAACTAAAGCAAACAGATTAGTAACACAAAATCCAATCAAGAAAATCAAAAGTTATTAATAAACTTGGCATATTAATACCCGGCAACGGCGCCAAAAACTTGTTGCGCAATCGGCAAGTGTACCGATCGTTCCAAGTAATAAAAGGGGTAAGTAGAGTATCGCCTCCACGAGGATTAAGGCACTGAATTTATTATAACTATTCCTCTCTTGTTGGATTAATAAAGATGGTTTAAAGAAAATTTTGGTTTGTTAAATAATGAGAACAATTCAAGAAAATGTAATCAATTCAAAGGTTCTTTTAGAAACTCAAGAACAAAAGATTAAAGATAGAGAAAATATTTGAGAAAATATTGCGGTAAAGAGAAGACAAACACATTTATGATCCCCACCTTGCAACTTGGATTACATTTACGTTTACTTATTCAATTGATCAAACGATTCATCATCTTTTATATGATTAGTTAAACCCTAATTCCTTAGTGACTTTAACCTTATTAACTCTATTAGAATCCTAATCTCTTAGAAATTTCTTTTCAAGTTAAACCTTAGAATCAATAAATCTTTCACGTTTGCGATTCAGATAGACTATCCCTAGTGCATACATGAATCGTATTTTACCCTTTGTGAGGAACTAGAATCTCAATATCCCTATTGAAAACCCTGACCCTTGCAATCCTAATAGAATGATCGGTTCTAGAAGAATTATAATATGAAGAACAAGATAAAATAAATGCAATTGGAATAATTAAACATAAAAATTAACCAAACTACAAGGGGTTCACATCAAGGGTTGTGAACCTTACCACAATAATATAAACTAGCCAGACATATTCATGTCTGACAAAATCAATATAAAAGAAAATAAATTTCAGAACCTAAAGAAGAGAAAGAAGATGAAGATCTTCAGTTTTGATCGTTCGAATCTCTGAAACTCCAAGAAGCTCTCAAGAATTCTCACTCTCTTTGTTATCTTTCTTTTCCTTGTCGTCAAAAGTGGCTCTTTCCTCTGTTTCTGATTCTTTTATTAGGTTTTGGGAAAACCTACTTTCAATTGCCCTCCAATTGGGCCCTCTTTTTTGTGTAATTCGCATCAGATTAAAAATAAAAAGTATCGCCCACGCAATTTTCACCAGCTGCCACGCAAATTGCGCGGAGAAACAGAGATGAAACTTCCAAATGGCACGATTTGCGCCATGCTCCGCGCAAAATGCGCAGAGATACAGAAGCACAAGGTCAAAATGGCGCGATTTGTGCCATGCTTAGAGCAAAACGCGCTAGCTGGAGAACTTCAACTTCTCTTTTTTTTCTTCGTTTTGATGTTTCCTGCTGTCAAAATATAGAATTTGAGTGAGAGAATGATTGAAAAGGAATAATAAGTATTTATAATATTTATGACCATTTTTCAACTATTTATAATTAATTCATTGCTTCTTTTAGATGAACGCATATCAACAAGTAAAATGGAGACATTAATAATTTATAAATAGTCGCTAACATTATAATGGAGAGATTTGGCAATAAATAAAATGAAAATCAACTTCAAACTTTACTTAATAGGTGAATCACATCAAACTTGAAAATTCTACACAATTTTACATTCAGCGAAAGCTAATCCCACAGGTGGACATTTTATTTTATTTTTTTATTTAAATTAGAAATACAAAGCATATAAAAGGACCGAAGTTCATGCTCATATTGGCACCGGATCTACAAGCAAAGCTTTAATGTATGTCTTCATTACTCCTCCAGCATGCGTGAAGTTATCTTCATCTTTGTAAATCACATCCATAAAACGTGATAGGTTGAGAACGCGCGTCAGAAAAGGCATTGGAACTTTGGTTGGCCTTAGGCATTCTTCATTTATATCCTTCCAAGCGTTCGTAACTCTCTTTCGGCAATCTTCAATGGCCGCTTCCCTGGACTCACCATATTCCCTCATATAGCATTCCAAGAATGATGAAACATGTCCTCTTTTCTGTTCAAACTACACATCGAGAAATAATTGAGCAAATATTTATAGTGATTAATGTTGTAGGAGATAATTTTATCTCCTAAACACATATAAAAAAGTGGTGTGTCCAAGTGAAAAGAAGAGAGAAAAAAAGAAAATATGGGTCCCACATACTTTTATATGTGTGTAGAAGATAAAATTATGTCGTATAACATGAAAAATATTAGTCATATATTTATTGGACAAATAAATCTTATGTTGTAGGAGAATTCTAATTTCAATGTCATAGATACATCAAGTGTGGGATCCACCTATTTAAAAAAAAATGGGTGGCACACTTTTTTATGGTGTGTGTAGGAAGGGTTTGTTTTCTCATGCAACCTTTGAGAAAAACAAAACCCTATATTTATATCATATGAAAAACAAAAACAAAAAAACAAAAAAAAAGACATAGAAGAGAAGAATTCTTAAAATCAATGACATGATATACATATATTATAATATATACCTTGTTGGAGACAATGTCATCCATTAGCCTGCAAAGAAGACAAGAAGCATAAACAATTTTGGGCTGATTTGTTACCCATTTGAAGATGTCTTCTGTGGCTATGTCTCCCATGCCAATGTAAGAAGTTGTTGTGAGCAATAAGTAACAGGTTGACATCGTTGATATGCGCGTATACTCCTCTGTTGTTGGAACATAGTTGCTGTTGAGCCATCTTGCCTCAGTCATGTAGGCTTGGACCGCCTTTTTGAGCTGCCATCACCATGCATTATATGATAAAATTATTCAGAGACTTATTAGTTACAAAATATTTGTCTTTGTCCTTTGCGTTAGAGTCTTAATCCCATTTAATGTCAAGTTTTTTTTCCTTCATGTTTGGTTTTTAGCATATTTAGTAAAAGGATTTTGGTCAGATATAGTTCAGACAAACTCCGTATTTACTTTAAAAATCCCGATCACCGCATAATAAAATTTGAAATGAGATTTGTTGTGTAGTAGAATTAGATGTGTATTCTTTAATAGGTGAAGTATGTCATTAAGGAGGTGCTCTGCTCTTAGATGGAGTGGTATGAACCAAAGTTCTCTAAGAAGTTACCGTGTGTATATCTCTAGGAAAAATATGTACGAACATGATGACTTTATACAGGGAGTGGTATGTACCAAAGCTCTTTGAACAATAATGAATGCAAGATGCCTCTTCAATGAATAAACACGTAAAGATATATACAAGAAAAATATTCCCTAATGACGAGAGATGAGTCATAATTATTTGTCCACTATCACACTGCTATGAATGAATATGAGATTCACTACGTGTAATGTGGTGAGAACTAAAGGGGATGAGAAATCTTCTTCTTGTTCTTTTTTTTTTAGTTAACTCAACTTTAATTATCTCTTCGAGGTGAGTTGGATGTCCCCTAAGGGTGTTAACGGGCTGAGCTTTGGTATTAAAAGGCTAAGTCTGTGTTATCTGTTTTGAATATAATTATCGACGTGTGAACTAGCTTATTTATAAAAAATAAAAGTCTAGTTTAATCTGTTTTAAAAAATAAGATAGCAAAAAAAATTTCAAATAAAATATACGATCAAAAGCACTAATAATTTTACAAAGATTCATAAATTTAATGTATATCTAAAAAGCATAATATAGAATAAAATCATTCAAAAAGTTCATTTAACCAATAAAATGAGATGAAATGGCATGAGGAGAGAGAGATAAAACTATTATGAGTAGTATAAAAAATATTAAAAAAATAAAAGTTAGTATACTAGCTAGCCAGCATGAGAGGCTTTAAGGCCAGCTTTTGAATTGAAGTCTGAAGTTTTTTTATTAAACGAGCTTTTATACAAGACCAATTAGTTTGATTTTAACAACCAATTTAAACATGTAAGCTCAAGTCTTTATGAGCCCGGTCAAAGGCCTCTGCCTCGTTTATCACCCCTACACCTCCCGGTCTCTCCACAAACTTCGACTCTTTGAGTCGGTTATAAGATTAATTCGGAGTGCATGGTGAAGATATTTAAATCCTTCCAAAAGATGGCATGAGGGGATCGAACTAAGACCCTTTTACTATCAACTGAGTTACCACCATTTGGTGGATGAGAAATCTTCTACAATAAGATATAGTCGAAGGATCCGTTTACAAACTTTTTTTACAAATTACACTAAGTATGACCGCTCATACACTCTTGATTGAAATATGACGGATCATACTTAGTATAGTCTGTAAGAATTTGTAAATAAAAAGTTTGTAAATATAATCTTACCGTAAGATATATAATTCTCAATATAGAAAGGCAGGGAAATGATCCCTTAATTGGGCTTCTAAGAGCCTATTCCTGGCATGAAGATGTGAGGGTGGTCCAAAACAAGAGCGTTGCTTTATAGTTTATACTATAGTCAAAACGTTTTCAAATTAATAAGAGTAAGAAAGTTATTGTTTAAGAGACAATTTAAATTTGCTTTGACCATTTAATATGAATTGAGTTTTGCACAATCATGAAAAATTCTGTACCTTCATAAAATAAGGATGAGACGTTTTTCTTTTTTCTTTTTTCAAGCCATAAGGGTGAGAAAATATTTCTAAACTTCTGAATTTAATCAAACATCAATTTTTTTTATCAAAATTAAAATTATAAGTTAGTTCAATAGTTGACTGAAGCTATTTCCAAAATGTTGGCCTAACTCCAGTGAAATCAACTAATGTATTACTGTAAAAAAAATTAATAAATAGAAACAAAATTGTAACTCATGCCTCGTTAATAGTCAATAAAAAGGCAAGAAAAAAGAAATTAGAAAAAAAAAGGAAAAGAAAACAGTTTCATACTTCTTTTATGGTATATTCAACGCTGTATGCCCTTCCTTCCGTCCTCATTTCTTGCTCTATTTCTTCAAAAAACTTCAAAAGTGACCTGTAAGATAATTTTATGCATTCTGGGAGACCATCATCCAAGCAGCTAATATCCCACCTGAAAATCACTTTCATTACAATCACTGGCACATTTTTTTATTCTTTACAAAAAGGGACAGAGAAAAGAGAGGGAAAATTATGTATTGATGATGTGCTAATCAACCTTTCAATTGCCTCAGTCAATAGCTCTAATTCATCAATTGTTCCATATGCATCATATGTATCATCAATGATTGTTAACAAGGCGATTACTTTCATCATTATTTTTCTTGCTTGAGAATATTGTGGCTCATAATATACCGCCAAAATCCAGAAGCAACATTCCACAACCCTATCTCGTACATATGGTAGATTTCTAGGGACGTCAAACTCCTTCCACCACCTATAAATACCAAAAACAATAATAGCAATTACAGGGACCATTCATTGAAACCAAATTAATATTTTTTTTTCTCCTTTTTATATAGGAAGTTTATGGTTAAGACCTTACTTGCATATGTAGCCAAATTCCCTTTGATGAAGGTTTTGCAGAATATTGAAGTCTAATATAGCTAAAGTGAGTAGAATTTCATTGTGCGAAGGATCTTGCTGGTAGATAGGTATGTAGCGTCGTGCTTCTAGCCTAGGCAAGTTCTTATGGAGAGCCTGCTTCAGGCTATGATTGACACTTGTTGCAAGAGAAGGGCTAAGTTGGGTAACAATGGACTCAAGGTGAGTGGAAGTGAAAGCCAATGCTTCGTCCAAAATGTCCTCTCCATGAACCCTGACATGTGAGGCTTCATACAAGCTTAACATTCCCTCAATGTCGGTGGTAAGTTTTTCACTAAAGTTTCCTTGCACATCCTTGAACTTGTTGAAGATATCTAGTGTTTTATTCAACAACCACGAGATTGTAAGGCCATTACAGATAATAAAATTTTGAAAAAAATGAAATAAAAAAAAGTTCAGAGAGCAAGTAGTCAGAAATGAAATAATGTGTACGATTTCAGTCGTGGTATCAAAAATGTAATTAAAGTGCAAGATGATAGTAGTAATCAAATATTTGACGAGATGAACATTAAATGATACAAAGCGAAAGTACTTACGTTATGGTTTTGTTGTGGCCAATTTTTCACTAGCGTTCAATTTACGCACCCCCATTTGGATGTACTTAAAAACAAAAATGGAAAAAATAACTTTTTATGCATAATGTTCTTAAATTTTGTTTTTCAAAAGGTGGACCTATTTTGCTTTTAAATCACTATTTAAAAGAACCTTTTAATCAAAGGTATCCAATTCAAGTCCTGTGAATACACAAAATGGTATTGGAAGAACAGTCTCAAATATAAGTTTGAGAGTACTCCAACCAAATCAAACTGGATTGATAAAAAAAAACAAAATTTTAAGCAAAAATAGTGTTTTTTACTTTTTTTCAAAAGCATAAAATTAAATCTTAAAACTTTTTTAAAAAAAATAATTTTAAATTTTTTCTCACTTTTATTTTTTTTCAAAAGTTGCATCCGGAGACACGTACAAAATGGAAAGCACTTCTAATTTGAAGAAAAAAATGTTTGTGAAAATAAAAAAACACAACTAGGCCCTAACTATAAGGTGATTGAAGACAAATAAAAGGAAATCGAAGTAGATAAACTGAGGCTTATACATACCAGGTGAAACGCGGAATCCATGCTGCCTCAGTAACCTAAATAGCACAGCATGAGAGCGAAGGTTCTCTTCAAGATTTATTTCTCCATTTTCAACATAGTTCTTGTGAATTTGTTGCAACACTTCTTCAATCTCACGTTCAAAATGATAATTCACACCCAGACGACAGATTGAATCAATCATGTCGACTTTTGCTAAGGGCTTCTCAGCCTTTGAGACAAGTATCTTGCTCACTTCTTTTTTCATTGCTTCAACTTGTGGCACGGTTTTATGATCAAGTTCCTGCATGTTTTGAAGAAAACTATGTTCAACGTACTTAATTTAAAACGAACTGCTAAGGACAATACTCATTAGAATGTATTAACGATGAACAAAACTTGGTACAAATACTCTATTCTTATCAATCAAGAAGTTAAACAGCCTAATGAATTAAGAGCAAGGAATGATCAGTTAGAGGAATATGTTCATTGCATGCAAGAGGAATATAAATCATTAAGTGGCAATATATATACTGTAGATTCTGAAGCGTATTGAATGAAATAATCCCTCCAAATGTCAGGGTGAAAATCTGCTGTATGTCGATGTAAGGACAATTTGGTATCTCGGTTGTAGCAATTGAGTGTTGAAGATGCAATTGACATCCTCTTAGCTTGTTCTAATGAAATGGATGTTTTATCAATGCCTCTTCTGCTTCAACTCTGATGGTTGGTTTGGGAAAGAAGGTGTCTAAGGATAGATATTTATACCAAATTAGAGGTGGCAAAATGTGACGTAAGCCACGAGTCGACCTATGATACAAGGGGAAGGACATTGTAACAATCAAGTCGTGTTACTACTATGTTACTACTAATCAATCTCTCCGTTAAATTATGTTGATCCAACGGTTATATTTATTTCCATCTTTGTATGGTAATAATTTTCCAAATTTAATACTTTATATTTATTTCCATCTTTGTATGGTTATAATTTCTTATATTTAATGTTTTCACTTTGAATATGAGAAATCATAACCATACAATGATGGAAATAAATATAATCGTTGGATCAACATAATCGATCTAACGGTGAGATTGATTGGTAGTAACATAGTAGTAACACAACTTAATTGTTATAATATCCTTCCCCATGATATAGAGCCTGTTTGGATCCTCTTATTTTTAAGCTAGAAGCTACTTATAAGCTAAAGCTAAAAAAAAGAGCTTAAAAAAATAAGCTAAAAGCTGTTTGGAAATTACATAAAAGTTTTAGCTTAAAAATTACTTAAAAGCACATATTTCAAGAAAATTATCTCTTTCTATCTTTATCACTCTTTATTTTTTAAAAAAAGCACACAATTCAAGAAAAACATATAAGAGCTTAAAAAAAAGCTCCTCCTAGGAGCTTTTAATTTTCAACTTTTTTCTTCATTATAAAAAAAAGAGCTTTTCGTTATAAGAGCTTTTCCCAAAACCTGTTTGGCCTAGCTTATGCTTATAAGTAGCTTGTAGCTTAAAAAAAAGAGGATCCAAACAGGCACATAATATACTAAAATGTGCGACGTGTCAACTTGAGAGTTCAAATAGGTCGGTCTGGATTTAGAAAATGATAAGAATTATTATCATATTGTGTTGTGTTATGAGTTGACATGTGTGACTTGTGTGCAGGGATGTAAATGGGTTAGGTCGGCTTACAGGGACCTACAACTTAGCCTGTATTACGTCAGACTTGGTCTATTACAAATAGTAAAATAGAACAGACATAGATTTTTAAAAAACCTATTTAGAAAACAGGCCATAGATTTTTTTTGTATTATGTCGGGCCTATAAGCCTATAGATCGGCCTCTATCATATTATTTATTTTAAATAAATAAATAAAATTATTATTTTAATAATTTTGAATAATAAAGTAATATTATTTTTTTATTCTTTTAATTGTTGAATGTTTAATAGGCTTAAACAGGCTAACAGGTCTAGGCCCAGACTTTTATTTTTTAAATAAGGTCACACCAGACTTGTAATTTGAGGTCTACATAAACTAACAGGCCAAGTCAAACCCAATATTTTTTATACAGGTCTGGCCTATTTAAGCCAAAGTCTAGTCTATTTACACCCTTATTTGTATGTCAATTTGCAAAAACAATATTGTCAAAAATAAAATAAAATAAGTTGAAATTTTGTTGATTTTGACATTACCCATTGTATCAACTTGTAAATTTCAATCAAATTTTCTTGTTATTTTTTTATAAAAAAAAAATAGAAAAACACTTTTAAACTTTTGTGTGTCAATACGTGCGGCTAGTCGTGTCCGAATTTGAAAATTTTACTTGAAAATTTTACCCCGTAAATAAATTCGTGTCGTGTTCAGGTTAAATGATTTCATCCACAAATTAAACCTTGATATGAGACGATTGGACTCAACTCGTAAACACATTATGCCAACCCAACACCAGACTATAACTAAATTACGATTTGATTTGTTAATGAAAGTACTTCATTTATTTGAATTGGTGCACCTCTTTGTGCGTGCTGGCATCCTTTTTTTTTGGCCATTTCTGTTTTTAGTAACCACCCATAATGATTTGCCACTCCTATATTTGGTTATTAAAGTACTATATTTATTTCAAATGGTCAAGCATCACTTTTTGTTGGCCATTTCTGTTCTTACAATCTATCCATAATGACAAAATTACATCCTTTTCTCCAACGCTTTTATCATACTTTTTCAAATTATTTTTGTGTAATTCGAAACTTCAAATCCACCATGAAGGTGGGAGTTGTTAAAAGCATATCTTGGAATTGATTTAAATAAGAAGCCTTGTGATTTATATGCATGTACATTTTTTTTTTTAAGCTGGGTAAAACACACCACAGCACAAATTAAATAACTGAAATACGACGAGTTCTACAAATAGAAGTTAAATTTGCATCAAACAGCAGATCAGTTCCAAGGGGGAATTAAAAACACAAAAATCATCAGAATTAACATTCATAAAAGGTTAAAAACACAAAAATCATCAGAATTAACATTCACAGCAGATCAGATGAACTCGTCAATCCTTTTGAATTCATGTCTGTAATCAAGAAAGTAGATGATTCTCGCGGACTGCATCACCATCACTAGTGAGCAGAACAATAACTAATTTAGAGTCACTTTCTACAATAATATTTCTCTATCCATCTTCCCAAATCTACTTGCAAACCGTTTATTCAAATTATTCATGTGATTAGCGCTGCTCTTTGGATAAAGGTCAAAATATAAGATCCAATATCTAGAAACAAGATTCGGTGGACCATAGCTCGCTCTTATTTTAATAAAGGAATTGTAATCCTTCTTCCATCACCAGACAACAAAGACCAAAAGTAGTATATTAAATATTGAATATTTCATTCGTACAAATAACGACACTGATGTGAGCAGATTACAGGTCACATCTTCCACAATAATGTCAATCATCCCCTATTTTCACGTTTTAAAAAGGGTTTTATAGGCAAAAAAAATTAAAATATTGTATTTAAATAAAATAATTACGCATATAATGTTGTTTCGTAAAAAATTACACATCTACTGCACAATGTGACGCCCATTGGGGCGTCTTATCCATGGGAGAGACGCCCCAATGGGGCGTCACATGTGACGCCCAAAACTAGCGTCACATGTGTGCTCTATATATTTCCTCACCCCCTCCATTCAATTCACACCTCTTCTCTCACTCTCCATATCTCTCTTCTCCACCAACATTCCTTTATCTTTAATTTAATATTTGAATTTTAGTTGTAATTCTATTTAAAAATGAGTTCAAATCCTGATTCTGTTCGTGTTGTGTTATATTACAATGGTAGGAAGGTAGAAGGTCGACGAGGTGTCATATTCGAAGGTGAAAAAAGGCCGACACGTATCCAACGCAACACAACCATTGGCGAATTGCATCAGAGAATTCGGCAGAAGTTAAGTCTTCAAGACAACCAATGTATCACTGAGATCACGACAAGGGTGTGGCAAGGTGATAAATACATTAGTTAGAAAGTGCTTGACGATGAAGACTTGGAGATGACAATGGAAGAATTTTGCAACCAGTCAAGGACAGATTTTCTAGAGTTGTATGTCGACATCGTTGCAACGGAGAATGCTCCCATACCGGTGAGGTCAGTTTATTTAAATTCTCCCCGTCTTCCAGCTTCTCATGCCGCTCATGCGTCTCCAGTTGGTATCTTTTCTGAGGGAGATGAAAATGATCCGACTTGGGAAATGCACGACGAAGATGACGATGATGACAATGAAAATATGGCAATGGAAGAACATCTTCTGGCGGAGGATGCTAGTGCTTCAGAAGGAGATGAATCTCGTGAGATGGGTGCGTCTGAAATTCCAATATTCCATCAACCAGTCGTCGCGCAAATGCCGCAGTTGAATGACGTTGCGTCTGCTCCGTTTGGTATTCCACAAGAAGGTAATTGTTCCCATTTGTATACTGCGTGAATAAATAACTGATTTAATGTTGCCTGAATTAGTAGTAAGTTCGTATTAAAAAATTATAACCCGCAATTCCAGGTGACACAGATGTTATTCCTTTTTGGGAAGGAATTCCGCATTATTCTTACATTGATTGGAGTTATCAGAGCGAACAAGAATCATGTACTGATGGTTCGGTGTCTGGATCGGCTTCAATACAAGGTCCGTGGCAACTGGGTGACATGTTATTTGTCAATCAAGAATTTGCGACAAAAAAAGATGTCCAAATGGCACTTAAGCACAACCTTATTAGGGAGCATCAAGAAGCCATTGTAATTGAGAGCACGCCTGCAAAGTTGTCCATGAAATGTTGTGCGTACGATCAAGGTTGTCCGTGGCGCGTAAGGGCGATCAAACCGGTGTTTCGTGAAAATTGGAAAATAACGAGATGGGGTGGAAAACACGAATGTGTGAATGAGCACATTTCCCAGGGTCATAGACAGCTTGATGCGGACGTTATTGCAGATCTCGTGATAGGTACCTTTTTGTATTTTAAATGTGTGATTGACCACAAATGTTTAATTAAATTCGTTCGATGTTATCGAGGCACTGATATCCTCTTCAATGCAGGGATGATAAAGTCTGAACCATCTGTGTCAATCTCTTTGGTGCAAGAAAGAATAACTGCTAAATATGGCTTTCAAGTTTCGTACAGAAAGGCGTGGTATGCGAAGCAGAAAGCGATGGCATTTCTGTACGGTGATTGGGAGGAATCGTATGCTTTTTTACCAAGGTGGTGCGAATACATGCTTCTCTTTTCTCCAGGTTCATTTTATCATATACAAACTAATGATCTTTATGCCGAGCAGAGCTTAGTTTCTGGAAAAAAGGTTTTTCATCGCATTTTTTGGACGTTTAGACAGTGTTGTGAGGCGTTCAAATTTGCCAAACCCGTCATCCAAATTGATGGAACACATTTATGTGGAAAGTACAAAGGGAAATTGTTGGTGGCCACAACCCAAGATGGTAATAATGAATGTTTACCGATCGCATTTGCCATCGTAGAAGGCGAAACTTTGGAAGCATGGGATTATTTTCTCGTTAATATTCGTGCTCATGTGACTACGATGTCAAACATATGTTTAATATCCGATCGGCATCGAAGCATAATATCTGCTGTGGAAAATAACCCTACTTGGCAGCCGCCAAATG